GAAAGATTTGAAATGCATTATTCCTCGCTCTTGATGTTCCTGAGAGCGGCTACTGTTGAGTTATGATCAACATTCTCATAAACAGAGGTTACCAAAGAGAATGCACATTAAGAGGCAAAAAAACATAAGCTAGGCACTGAAGTAAAATCTTACCAGCTAGAAGTTTGAAGCTAGTTTAAACTGGGAAATTCTACACTTATTTTTGGTTTGAATACATGGATGTGTTTTTAAGTTTAAGACCAAACATTCAATTTCAGAAATATATTTAAATATAAACAGGATAAAAATGTGAAGATAAAAAATTAGAAGGATGTGAATCATGAAAAAAAACATGTCTGCTTTGCTCAGTTGCTTTCCTGTCTACGGTTAGATGCTGCAGAGTGTGAATGGAAACTGTTGAGAAATGCAAAACATTGAGAGTGGGCAACTGCTGTGATATGCAGATAACAAAAACACTTTTTCTAGCAGACAGAAATAGTCCTAATAGATTGCCATGTCTGTTTTAAACATGGAATTTAAAATTATAGCTTGTTCAGGACACAAATGTATCTCACCAACATAAACACATTCAGAGAAAAAATTGTGAACTTCATTTCAAAATTTTAAATTGATCTTCTCAAACTAGGAAATCTGAATTTAGAGCATCTGGCAATGAATCTGTGACATATTCAAGAATCAACACATTCTCACTCCAGACTCCTCACACATGACGCTTGGTCAAGGCCCTTTGCCGTCAGCTTTACCCCTTTTGCGTCATTCGCGTTATTAAGTGTGAAACGTTGCAGTTTGGTTAGGTTTAGGCACTTGGTTATGGTTAGGAAAAGATCGTGGTATGGGTTAAAATAACTACGTACGTCAGTTAACACCTAAGTTAATTAACGTCACTTAGTCTACGTCAATTTACGTAACTCGCGTAACTTGTTGTTGCACACAAGACACGAACCCCGGTCTCCTGGTTCAAAGTTGAGGTTCTGGCTCTCAATCCACCCAACCACTTACTCAGTCTCTTCTGTTAAATATACACCTACCTTTACTGTCAAAAACCGACGCTACAGGCTTCCCCAATGTGTTGAACAAAAAAATGCGAGGCAGATTTAACTAAACACACAAGTACTACTTACAGAAATGAACAACAATACAAAAACAGACATGCCGCTCAGGCTAAACTCAGCATATAAATGCTGGCTAATGTTTGGAGGACAGCGGAACAATGTAGGTGCCACAGAGTGATTAATTTTATTTAAAAGAAATTATTTAGATTTTTTTCTTTGTTATTACTTCTATCCACAACATTACTGTCTTTAATGGTGCACAATACTTCAGTTTATAAAGTTTACATTGTTATGATAAGTGTACCGAGTTGCTGCTGGTCTCTGTTGGTTGTCTTGTAAAGAGTGTGAAGAAAGAAAAGTGAATGTCTGGTGTTGCAGGGATCACACATCAATTATTTACTGAAAAGCCCATCTTCCACTGATTTTCTGAAGTGTACTAACCGCCTCACAATATAAAGATGTACAGTACCTTGTACGGAGAGAAGGAAGACAACAAATCCACTCGCTGCTGCTGGTAAACTCATAGCTGCTCCTCACATCGGTTAAATCTCATCAGCAGGTAGATCACGTACATGAGAAGTCCTGTATGTCAGTCAGTCACAATAAACATTTCCAAAAGTGGAACATGGTCCTTGAAGACAGTTTGTCTCTGTTTTTGGCAAACTTGTCTTAAACATTGAAGTCTAAAAGCTGCCCTGACTTCCTTCCTCTTACATCATTATATGCATGAACAGACAAATGTCTGTTTCCGCAAGTCTAAATAAAGAAATGATTCTTACAATTGATGATGCATGAACTTCTTAAAATATAGTTTATTGAAATTATAGTTATGGTCATTTTGTAGCCTGGTAGTGTAACACTTTTCTTGAGAAAACAGTTTGAGGGGTGAAAAAAAAAAAAACCCCGGTAAAAACATCTTTTAATCACTCTTTTTTTTTTTTTTACCTTATTCTACACCTAGGTTCAATTTATTTACAGCCCCAGTCCATACAGTGCGTGCCCATTGTGTAGACCTAAACTAAAAGTGACAGTGAAACGTGTTATTTGTATATCCCTTTTGTTTTCCACAGTGTTGTTGCTGCACATTGTTTATACCTGTTGGTCTCTCTCATTTCTCAGTTTCTAAATCCTCAATTACCTTGCCTCGCGTCATAGTATAGGCTCTTAGTCTCTACCTCCTCAAGTCCTCTATCCTCACGCCTCTTCCTTGGGTGCTTCTCAAGTCTTTAATTGCATCCATGTTTTCCTCACTTGCGTTTTCCTTGCGCCTCGATTCCAGGTTACTCGTGCGGGGTTTTTTGCTGCAAAGGTCATAAATGTAGCTATGACACAGGATACATGGGTCGGCGATTTTAAGATTCATAGTGAGGTCAACAGTAATAATATTCCTGATACGAAGTGACCAGACGTCCGAGATCAAAACTGGGAACATAATCACCGAAAGGGGGGGGGAGACATTTCCAGTTCGACTATCAATTATTATTTTTTTTTAATTAATACTATTACTTCTATTCAGAGTTTTATTCTGTATTTATCCAGGGACAGGCAGCCAAAAACGGGGACTGTCCCTGAAGCCTGGGACGTCTGGTCACCCTATGATATGTGATGTAGGCTATGATAGGTATTTTGCAAATCACACACTATAAATATGATAGACAAGCAGAAACAGATAGTGAGAGTAAAGTCAGATATTTTAATAATTTGAACCAATACAATATATGATTAACAAACAATATGATTCAATTATATTAGTCTACTTGAAGCTTTTTACATTTGTCCCTCTCTGTCACACACAGTACTAACTACTAACTTCTGCATCCATCTCCTCCCAGCCCTAGACATTTAGCAGCCCGACACACCACTCAGACACACACGAAAGCTTTGCATGAGCTAAAACCCCTGAAAGAGGACTGTTTTGCAGAGCTTCTTTCTCGTGCTCCCTTTCTGTTCTCCCTCACTCATGTTTCCTCTTTGGTGTTCTGTGGTGTGTGTGTGTGTATATATATAAGGGCAGGTGGTGTGGTTTTCTCCTGGGCACCAGACTCTCCAGCGCAGCTCCTAATCAAGCCCCAGCACAAGTACTCCTGAGATCCAGGCAGCCAGTGCCAGATGTTTCAGTTACTCATGTAGTAATATACTCTTGGCAAAAACGCCTTGAAATTTTAGTGAAGCCTTTTGTTGTGGAAAACCCTTTGCTAATACCATATTCTCTCTGTGTGCAGTTGTTTGGAGTCAGTGTTGCCTGCGCTACCAGCCACACCACCAGCCCTGGACTTCATGACCACCTCGCCTACCTCTACTCATTCTACTACAACCACCTCTTTTGTAAGATCTTCTGTACTACTGTGCATTCATTAACTCTTTGCTAATCCAAAACCTTTGAGTCGGTGTACGCTCTTGAGTCCAGACCTAGCACACCTAACAGAAATACTACCATCGCACTTGCATATTGCCACATTACACACTTTCTTTTGTGGTGTTTTGCAGATCAATAACACATTGTGCTTCTACACTCCCCATTAAATAGCTAAATATTAGCTTCAACTAGACTTTGTGCAACATAACCTCTCACTTGAAGAGGATGATTGACAGTCACAAAGGTTTGGAAAATATGTGTTCCTAATAGCAATGATGTCATTTCTTTTTCCAAAGCAATTAAGCTGTAGGAACAAAAACAAATAATAATAATGAGAATTTTGTTTGCCAATGTCTAGGCGATAGCCGGGTCACATTATGGGCAAGATTTAGAAAACACACTGCGGACAGCTAGTGGACAGGAGAGACGTGGCAGGGTCTGGAAGGACAGGAGAAGTAAAAGAATTACTAAAATCATGACAAGGCTCAAATAATTTCAAACTGGTTTCTTGAACATGACAGTGAATTCACTGTACTCCAATGGCCTCCACAGTCACCAGATCAATTCAATAAAGTACCTTAAATTTGCATCGTGGATGTGCCGCCGATAAATCTGCAGAAACTGCATGATGCTATATGATAGAGCTATAATCTACAAGTTTTCCAGTGTGTGTGTGTGTCATAAGCATGGTGTTCCTTGACTTCCAGTTCATAAGGTTGTTTCTCCTAGTAAGCAGAGGGATGGTGATAGTGGAATGCAGCTACCCTGGAAGACGAATAATGATGAAGTCAAGTCTTTCCAAAACTGGTGAACTGGTGTGCCGTTCCAAATGGCATGAAAATGGTTATCAGGGTTATTTGTGTAAAACATGAACAAGTCTCAGATGTGAATCCGATTTCAAACAGTCTTTGCCCAGTGTAATGAATTCTTTGGAGTCCCTTATACCATATGAGTTTTAAGTTGTTGTTCTAATTTGTCATAATATTGACGATTTTGCAAATTTGGCTCCAGAAGTCAGCATCAGGAGTGATGGATATTGTTTTGTCTGATTGTGATATTATTTTAGATATTTTGGAATCAAGTTTTGTTGAGGAGGGAATGTTAATTAATTCTTAAGCTGAAGAAGGAAGATCTAAGTTAGTGGATATAATGTTACATTTTGTTTGGATGGATGATTTGAGCTGCAAATATTCCAGAAAGTGTTAGCTCCCGATGCCGTAATACTAACATTTCTGTAGTACCCTACACACTTGTCTCACAGCCGGCTGCTCATACAAAACGTATGTCATTTGCGCATCATTCATTTTGGTGAAAATTAGCTTTTAACTCGTTGTTTACACTACAATTGGAAAGAGGCATCGTGAAAATGTTTCGCTGATGAGTTATTGATCCAGGAAGTTCAGGGCTGTCAATATATTTCCAATTTTACTGAACTTGAAGGGTTCCCACTCTTACGCTGTGAGTTGCAGACAGTTTGTCAGTGGTAACATAGCCATAGGCCATAAAATATACAAAAAAAGTTTGATGAATTGCAGTGTGCCCCCTGGTTCCCATGTATCCCGAACACTGAAGATCTTTGTCCAGAGTAAGAATTTACAAACTAAATACCTTTTTTATTCAATAAAATCTCATGTTATTTAGTTTAACAAATTTTAGAGGGTTAAAGTGTGAAATAAGTCACAGGTTTATAAAACACAAAACAAGAGTTAAAAAAATAATTAAGTTGTGAGATGAGGACTCAAACAAAACAATAACTCATTTTGTTGTGATGGTAAGCACCAGAAATTTAAAAATGTCAGAATGAGCATAGGAATATTTGAAATATTAATAAAAAAAGTGAATAGACTGTAGAGCAGAGAAAGACTTTGGTAAAGTTGGAAAGGTATACTGTATAGAAATGTACTTGACAAGGAATTGGTTCGCTTGCACCGACAGTAAAATATTGCTCCTTAGAAAAAATGTTAAGCAAATTCTATATTGGAATTAATAAATTACAGACTGTTAGCAACTGATACTAGTACTTGGCTGGATGCTGTAACAGTAATTTTAATACAGCTTATTAACTCTAACCTTTTGCACATTGTCCACACAAAGATCTTGTCATGTCTGCTGGATGTGTAGATTCCTTTGAGGTTAATTTGACTAAATTACACTGCCAATACATTTCTAAAAACATCGGATATGATGGAGGGCAGAGAACATCCTGCCTTTGGGCTTCCGAACAAACTCTTGTGATAACTTGTTGGTTGTAAGAGAAACTATGATTGTTTGTTGTTTTATGTATTTGACTTTTGACAGTTTTTAATGTATTTTATTGTCACTGTGGAATTCTGCTTAAACAGAACCACAGATCCATGTTGTGATTATACTCTTGGTATGTTGGTGATTGTGCTGTACAGTGCAGATGAATCCTCCACAGCCTCTTGACGTCTTAATCTGTGAATGAAAAATGTAATTAGTAAATTAAGACTCAGAATAATAACAAGGAGCAAAAATAATGGGAATAAATAAAATTCTCATGGACTCACTCTACTGAAGCACTCGCACTCTTAAAGTTAACAACACTGTACTCCACACCATCGCCGTCCTCCTCCTCTTCATGTGTGTCTGTTGCGCTGAGCTGACCTGATGTTGGGTAGAGAGCATCTTCCTGGTTTTTAGAGAAGCTTACACTGGCGTAGCAAAGGTCGTCTGACTCCTCTGCTGGTTTTCTCTGTACTGCAGCTGAAGGGTTGTTGGACACTGAACCCATATTTAGCTGAAAGGCAACAATTGTATAGACAAAAATACTTAAGTTCTTATCTTCATAAGTATGATTTTATTGGCCTGTAACAATGAGGGGGTTGTTCTGCAGTTTCAGTTACAAATACATCATCAGGCGCTACACATTTCTGAGGTCAACATTTGTCATGTCCTCTGTTGTGGAACCACAAACCTCATTATCAAAGCCAAAAGGTCACTTTGGTTTTTGTTGTTGTAATTCTTACCAGTAGAGGTCATAAAATCAGTGAATGCCAAATTCCCCTTTGTTTACAAAAAGCTAACATGAATGTGTAGGTGGATAGTGTTGGGTTGACGAAAACATTGGTCCTGTCACTTCATCATTTATGACAGAATGACTGTGTCAAATAATTTCCTCCAGCTGAACTCAGACAAAACAGAAATCCTGGTCATCGGGTCTCCAGCAGATGGCAAATCAAATACTGCCATCTGCTGGTTCGCTAGTAAATCACATTAAGCCTGTGGCAAAGAACCTTGGTGTTTGGTTTGATAGTAATTTAAATTTCGAGCAGTACACCACAAAGCTTGTTCAATCATGTTTTTATCAACTTAGAAATATAGCAAAAATTCGATCTGTTAACTTTTAATGACACCGAGACCATTTTACACGCCTTCATCTCATCACGCCTGGATTATTGCAACAGCCTTTTCACCTGTTTAACCCAAAAATCTATTGATCGACTCCAGACTGTCCAGAACTCAGCTGCCAGGCTTTTAACCAGAACAAAGAAATATGACCACATTACTCCTATTTTAGCTTCATTACACTGGCTCCCAGTAGTTTTAGAATTGACTTTAAAATTCTATTGATCACTTTTAAAGCTCTTCATGGCCTCTTGCCTTGTTATATTCTGAACTTTTAGTCCCATACACACCAGCACGTACCTTGAGATCCTCGGGCAGAGGTCTGTTGTCTGTTCCAGAGTCTCGACTGAAAACTAAAGGGGACAGAGCGTTTGCTGTCAGGGCCCCGAGGCTCTGGAACAGCCTGCCCGAGGAAATCAGGTCGGCTGAGTCAGTGAACTCTTTTAAGTCCCTTCTTAAAACATACTTTTATAGGAGAGCCTTTCCCGATCTTATGTGACTTTATTTTATCCCTTTATTTTATTCTTTTACTAATTTTATAATGATCTTAAATGTGTATTTTAGTCTTTTCAATGTTTTCATGCTTTTATCTTGTATTGTTTTTGTATTATTGTCTCTTGGGTATTATTGTCTTTACACTTGTTAAAGCACTTTGTAACTTGTTTTTGAAAAGTGCTCTACAAATAAAGATTATTTATTATTAACAGGGTTATCACATAGGAATGAACAGGATGAAAGAAGAAGCATGATTCAATTTAGTTTTAAGGTGAGAGTACTATCTGAATTCTTCCTCACCTGTGCTGTGTTGTCTGGTCTCTCTCCAGGCTCTGTGGTTTGTTTTGAGGACATCTTCTTCTGGAGAGGAGAATAAATGAACAAAAAACAAATCATTACATGACATTACTGAACAACTGAGTGAATCTTAGGTGCATTACTGAATATGATCACAGGAAGACTGAACTGCTCACCTAATCAATAGGAAGACACAGAGCAATATGAGAGCCAGAAAAATGGCAGTGATTGATCCAGCAGCTGCTGATTTCATTGAGCCTGGGAAACAGTACAAAACAAAGGCAGTGTAAAAGCCCTGTGCCAATATATTAGTGGTCCTTCATGCTTGGACAATATCTTATTGTGTGTCTGATTATTTTGCTGGAGAGGAGAATAAAGGAATGTATGCACCCCAGGTTAAAGAATAATGATCAATTAATGATTGACTTTGTAGTCAAATATCAAATCTTTGGCCATATGTCTTGGACTCTTGAGCACAGCTGTTAACCTTGTGGCGAAGTAGATCACCTGATGATAGAGCCTGCAGGACAGACTTTGCAGAGAAATTATGTGGAAGTGAACGGGTGTGTATGAAAGTTAATAATTTACCTGCCACAACAGTCAGATGTAAGGTGGAGTTATACGTCCTCTTCTGTTCTGGGCTTCACAGTAATAATTCCCACTGTGTTCAGCTCTGAAGTCAGTGATGGTGAAGTTCTGTCCTGATGCTTTTGGTGAGTCTTCATTCTCCTTGTACCAGGTATAATTAGCTGCTGGGTTAGCATCACTGCTGCATGTCAGAGTCACTGAACTGCCCTCCACTATCTCACCAGAGGAATTCACAGAAACAGTCTTTGGAGCATCTGGAGGAAAACATGTATAGACAAAGTGTCACCTACTGGGAGGGGCTACAAAGAGGAACATTAATAACACATAATGCATCAGGAGGTGTTGTAATTCATCTGATGCTCCACTTGATAAACTGTGCTGCATGTTCTCAACATGGTAGTGGAGAAACCATGCTTGTTATATGAGAATGTTATATTTAGCCACGTGTTACATCTGCGTTAGCTCGCCTGCCTCTTTGTACTATTTGTGTCTTTCGCCAGAGAGCACATCTAAATGTATTGGATGATAACAAAACAGTTTGTGAGCTGGACTGAAAATTTTAAATGAGATTGTCGCCACACTTAATAACAGTTAGACCGCAGTAAGTAATGTTATTTGTAGTCAATGCATGGACAAATGAGAACACTCCATAAAATAGGCTAACCGGAGGTTCAGATTGTCAAATTTATCTAAATATAATACTTGCATGCATGTTGAAAGATTCTTGGTCCCTGCAGTCACTCCTCCTCTCCACACTGGCCATGCAGCTGTCCTGTTTTGGCACAACTACACTGTAAGAAGTGAGGGATCAAAATCTACTGTACTCATTCTGGACAAATGCTGTCTGAAGTTTATCCAAAGATAAGTCTCAGTCAGGCTAACTGAGTGAACATATAGATCTATCTGTGACCTCAGCACTCCCCATGTTACACTCTGATTTGGTTTGTCCACTCATCATCTACCTAGTTTGCATGTCTTTGGATGGTGGGAGGAAGCCAGGCACCCTGAGAGAAACCACGCAGACACGGGGATAACATGCAAACTCCACAAAGAAAGGCTGGGGCAACCGGTGTTCGATTCCACAAGCTTCTTGCTGTGAAGCAATAGTGCTAACTACTGCACCACCGTGCTGCTCTGATTTGGTTTGTGATCTACACAAATCTTAGGAGAGAACTCAAAACATTTATCCTTTAGTAATTATCCAGCAGCAGCGTGTGTTTTCTAAAGCATTTTTTTGATCTCACAGATGTCTACTTTCTATCTGTACAGATAGAATGTTAGCTCTTTGCTAAGCCAATGTTTTATCCAATATTTTGAATCTATCTCTCTCTATCTCGCCCTCCCTCAGTATTGGTCTCTGACTTGGTCTCGGTTTGGACGGTCTTGACTACAATACCACATGTTGCTCTACGAAGGTATCTCTTCTTTGCCAGGCGGAATGATTAGTGACCAAAACCAAATTTAACATACAGTACAAATGGCATGTTAGAATTAAGAAATCCGAAATACTCCTTTAGACCACTAGTGATGCTACTTTAGAACATGATATTATTTCTACCAGCCTGAGCTCATCAGACATTTACATCCACTATCTGTAAGTAAACTTCCAAGCGCTTTGCTGATGTTTTGTACTTACACTGGACATCTATGGATACAGATGTGGAGTTGATCTGGCCATACTCATTCTCAGCCTTGCAGTGGTAGATCCCGCTGTCCTTAGAGCTGATAGAGGTGAAATGATAAATTTCTCCTGGTCCCTGAATCAGTGTTGGTTCTCCTTGTACCAGGTGTATTTAGCTGCTGGGTTAGCATCACTGCTGCAGGTCAGAGTCAGTGAACTGCCCTCCACTATCTCAGCAGAGGGACTCACTGACACAGAGGGAAGCTTTGGAGCATCTGGGGGACAAAAGAGAGACAACTTGTCAATATTTCTTTAATCATATTTTTTGGAAAAGATAGTTTTGAATGTGCTACCTCAGATTTGTTAAGTGATCCACTGATTGGCAGTGTTTGTCACATTCTGACCATAAAGAAAAGTTTAACCACATAATTAACCATCTGGTTTCTTTTTTCACTCAGGAGCAAAAATTTCCCTTTAAACTTGAAAGAAATAATGATTTGACATTTATCGTGATAATCATCGATATCGAATGATATGAAATATTGTTATCGTGATAACATTTTTGGCCATATCGCCCAGTCCTACTACTACATGCACATAGTGTTTGCTCATTGGTCCATTCGTGAAGCCTGTTGTCTTTAGAGACAACACTGTAAACAAGAAGAGGCTGTGGAGATTAAACTCGTGGACTGGCCGTTGGCCTGATGGCTGTTTTAGCCTGCTGTTAATTATAAACTTGACCAGCGGCAGTGATGATATAGCGATATCTGAATCCGCTTTATTGTCAGGTATGTGTACAAGTACGAGGAATTTGACTCTGGAAAATGCTCACGATGTGCTTACTTATACAATAATATAATAAGACAATAATAATAAAACACAGCCTACAGTATAGAGAACACATAGGCTACACACACAGATTGACACAATAGTGCAATAATATATATGCAATATATTACAGGAGAATCCAGACCACAGTCACGTCTCACTTCTCAGCTGCAGTGCCAAAGAGAATATAAAAGTTGAATCTGTCACAGGGCAGCCACAGTCCCATAGACCTGTAGACCGTCGGCCTCCCGCCTGCTTTAACCTGATGGTATGATCTCTGTTATCACACGCGACTGGTCGCATGCACACACACATCAACACAGCGGTCAGTCAGTAAATGAAACAGGAGAACGATGCTGTAAAATTACAGAAATCTTCATGATTAAGGGACACCGTGTTACTACTAACAGTGCCGCCTTTATATCACATCATATCGTCAAATCACAGCTACCTTTCCAAAGTTAAGTCTGTTTTTTAATAAAAGTAATCATACCATGTAGGAAAGCAGAAGATGCTTTTGTATGGGAATAATCTGGAAAATAAAGGCCCGTGTACTCATTTTAGGTGGACATATCTCCAGTTACTCAGAGCAACCAGAGCTTCATGATAAACATAAATCCACACAGTGCTCTGAGGAAATGCAAATGCAAAACAAACAATCCAAAGTGCCCAAAGGCCTATATAAAACTTTAATCCTGTTGCCTTAATTGTGGATTTTTTCTTAGACAAAATCATTTATTCTTTGCCCTTTGTTTCTAATGCAGATCATTTTTCTACTCTGTATTACAGTAGTTACTGCTGTGAATAATAAACAGTTTCTGATGCAGCACTTTTAGTACACTGTAACTGATTTTTGAACATTTTGAACAGTATTTTACTGTAGTAGGTGCAGTAAAATACTGTATATATACTTTACAGTAGATTACTGTAAATAGCAAAGAATTATGGAAATATTTCCTCACTACTGTAATTCTTCTCTACTGTGTGTTCTCTCTACAGTGACACTGAGTGTCACTGTGGAGAAGTGACACTGAGTGTCACTGTGTCTTGTGGAACAAATAGAGCAGGGGTAAGCAAATAAGTCTGGCTTCCGGCCAGATTTATTTCAAGCTGTTACATGGCGGGCTAGAACATAGTAAAATTATTTGAAATGCTTGGATACTCGTGTGCACGTTTAGCTCAGTCGGTAGTTTTCAGGACTCCTGGGCCCTGTGTAAAGGTTCAAATTGACAGTAAGGTTTTTAGAGGTCTATTTAACATTAATAACATCTCATTCATTTCGTATTTAATGAAATTATGTCCAAACACATGACGATATGCAAAAAAATGTGTTTAGTTTTACAGTCTCAAAATCAATTTATAGTTAATGTAAGTTAAAGGTGCGTTGGTAGTTTTAATTGGCTTCTAGCAGTAAGGTTGTCTATAACATGTAGTTATCAACTGATCGGCGTTTGCAAGCAAGTTAACATTATCTAGTTTGAACCAACTAAAACACAAAATCGCACTGTTTCACATGATCTGCAGTAATGTTGTGCACATAAATGTCATAGACTTTGTAAAACAATGGATTTTCGCAGAAAATCCAACCAGACCTTCACATAGAAAACAGTAGGCCTATTCAGGCTGTTATAGGCAACTTAGAAAGTTGGTGGATGCCTCACTTTTTAGGTGAGGTTATAAACTGGTCACATATAGGCAATAAAAATGTTATTAATATATTTAAGTTCCTTTTAAAAACTCCACAATGTCCCTTTTAAAGGTGTGTTGCTGACATGACCGGTTACAGCTTAAAGTGGCGCGTCAGTCTTAAATATGTTGTAGAGGTCTTGAAAAAGGTCTTAAAAGGTATTGAATTTTATTTTACGTAAAATAACTAATATCACAATATGGAATGTTGTAAGATTTCTTCAGACAAGAATCCCAAGTGAATGAATCCAACGGACTTTGGTGTGTGAAATGACAAGACATGTCTCAACAACTTGGATTGATTTCTAGAAAATGTTATGTTTTGCAGGCATTGGGTCATAAACCAAATTCCTTTCAATCTCAGCTCACTTAATTGATCTGTGCTTGCTGTACCATCCTGCAGGTACCTTCTGTGGTCTTTATCATGCCATCACTCTTCACATTAACACAGGTGTCTCTTTGTACTTTGAATAAGTAAATGTTTACAATTAAAAAGCATATTGTAAGGACAATGTTCATGTTGTAATCTTTTGGGTGAAATATGTGGTTTGCAGTGCTGTCCTGAAATTGGATTGTAAGTTAAAGGTTTTTAAATGTGGATTTTGTTTAATGGAAGTTACTTAGAAGTAACTATTAGTTAAACTAATTGAAAACATTAAATTACATTACAGTAAATGAAAGTACTGTAAATGACAATACGGTAATAATACTGTAAATAAATGAAAATACAGTAATGATACTGTGAATGAAATTACAGTAATGATACTGTAATTAAATTTACAGTAATGATACTATAATTCATTTACAGTAATGATACTGTAATTGAAATTACATTAATGATACTGTAATTGAAATTACAGTAACGATACTGTAAATCGAATTACAGTCGGCATCCAGCTGCCAGTAAGTTACTGTAAAATTTAGGTAATTTAAGTTGTTACTGTGATGTAGAGACAGAGCTCAGTTAAACTTTATGGATGGAAGATACTTTTGTTACAGATTAATAACTCACCACTCTGAAACTCTTGCTCCAGTCCATGTTGCCAAGCTGGTCGGCAACATGTAGCCTACAGCTGAATCGAAGCTGTTTACCTTCTTTTCTCTGACTGAGAGAAAGGTCTCTGCTTCTGATTGGCTAGTAGTCCTGAACTAGGAACTGCACATGTGCAACTCCCAACAAAGATCATTTAGAGACAGATGTATCACTCCATAGCTAAAACGAAGCGTTCAACACAGGGTGAAAATAGGAGCTGCAGCAATGTGCAAGTAGGACAAAAAATATGATGTTTTTTGAAAGTTAAACCATGTAAACCTGTTCTGGTACAACCCTTAAATAGGATTTTGAACCTGAAAATGATACCACCTCTTTAATAGACTACATGTTTTCAAAAAAAGGAGCTTTACACCAACCTTATCAGAGTTAATGATAAATTAGCAGTGTTGGGAGTAATGTGATACAAAAGTAATGTATTGTTTTTGTTTTAAGGCAGCAATATAATGCATTACAAAAAAAAAATCTGTAATATTATACCTGTTACAATCTCAGGAACGCGCGTTACAACGCATTTTAACCTGAAATGAGGTGGTGTTTTGTTTTGTTAATTATTCACCAACACAGAGAAAATTTCGGCACCAAAAACAAATCCATGAGTAAAAGAGTAACGTTGTTTCCTGTTGTGGGAATCTGATGGTTAGTTTGTAGGCAGGGTGCAAACTACGGGGGAGCCCGGCTCCTCTAGAAGGTAGCTCCCCTGATGTATCATGCGTAAATAAAGATTTCTATGTATTTATGCTTTAACAAATTACTTTCATGATTAGAGAGGCTAGATTCAAATAATCAATGGCGTTATGTTGCTGTACCTGTAAATGCGCAGAATCTTTCTAAAGTGGGAGAAGATTCGTCCTATTTCACCCTGCTAATCAATGGGTTAATTTTATGACAATGACCCATCCAATTGGCAGATATAACTCTGCACATCACTAGAACCCACCTATGCCGACACCTTCCTATCAAATAATGTGCCCATTAAATTCAAGTGAAAGTAACTTAAAAGTAACGCATAAGTAGTGTAAAGCATTACAATTCAGAGACAGTAATACTCTAATATAACTAATTAGTCTCAAATGACAGTAACTATAATGTATTTGGAAGTAACTTGACGAAACAGCATATTAGTACATTTTTTCACGCCAATTTAAGCACTCTATTGTCAACTTTAATCATATAAAACGTAATTTTGGCTAGTGAAAATGCTGGTGGCTAGTAACTTTGGGAAAAAGTGAGCAAAAAAGTTCATGTCAAGCCCAGGCTATGATACATAATACCCGTGGAGGTGATGTGCTGCAAGTAAGCTACCTAATTTTACTTTGAAAATGTAACCACAAAGAGGGTAGGCCTACTTGCTGGCCCTTGCTGGGTAAAAACGTGACAGTGACAAGCGCTGCCTTCACCCAAACTTGAAAATTTTTCAACTCACGGCGACCGGGAAAACAAATGTTCAGCGCCCAGTGGGAAGACGCTCAGCACCTCGTTACACTGCTGCCGTTTTTACCATGTTGTAAAAATGTGGAGCTAACATTGCAATGAATTAAAAAAAGGTCAGTTTGTTCAGCAAAGACAGGCCAGATTTATGGTATTTTTTAAATAAACTGTTTCCTCACATTTCACATTAATGATGTATTCAGAGGTCCTCCTCCCCAGCTCATTCTCAGCTGCACAGTAATACTCTCCAGAAGAGGTATGGATGAGCTGAAGACAAGCTGGTTCTTCACTGAGCAGAGTTGGTTCTCCTTGTACCAGGTGTGTTTAGCTGTGGGTTAGCATCATGCTGCAGGTCGAGGCACTGAACTGCCCTCCACTATCTCAGCAGAGGGACTCACTGACACAGAGGGAAGCTTTGGAGCATCTGGAGAAGAGATGAACATGAATTATTTAAAGATGAGAATATGCTGCTATCTATCTAAGACTGATTATGAATTTTCTCTTGTTTGTGCTCAAATCCTGCTGCAAACAGTTTTAGTTTGTTTTAATAGTTTGAAAATGTTCCCAGTTCACATTACTTTATCCAGCCTCTGTGGTTGATTTACCACTATTAAGAGAAAGTCTCCATCTGTCTGTCCTGAAAACTTTTCAGAAACTGGTAAATCCATTTTAAATTTTGCTATAGTAAAAAAAATGTTTCAAGCTAACAAATCCAATCTATCTCAGTCATAAACTGGTCAATTAACTAAAATGGGGAATATCAAAACAATAATGTATGTATATATGTAGCAACAACATATTTTATACTTTAAATTCCTTTTCATAAAAAATGTCAAATTGTTATATCACAACATGCATCGTGTCACGGCTGTCGCTGTCACCCTTGTGTTTCCCCTTTTCCTGTCTCACCTCTACCAAGTAGGCTGTGTCCCTGGGGAATGAAGACCGCCTACTTCCTGGTTTTCTGGGGTGCTGACATCAGTCCCGCCCATTGGTTCCCTCTGTTCCACTCAACCAATGGCTCGCCACCACATTAATTACTCCTGCTCATAAGGAGAGTCCACCTGTTGCTCCAGGCAGCTTGTCACGCCTATTGACTTGTGTGCCTGGTATTGACTGCAAGCCTGCCTGTAGTTGTACTTTGTGTTTAGTGGAACTATCACCTTCCTTGCTTATTAGCTGTACATTGTGTTAGTGAAACTGTTGCACACCTTTGTTTGTTAGCTCCACATTGGGTGCAGTGGAGAAATCACTTTGTGTTTTGTTTACTATTGTGTTAGTTTTCACCAGGTGGAGGGGTGCTGTGCTCTTTGTGTTCTTTTGTAGCAAGAATCAACTCTGCTTAAATCGATAGATAGGTACAGGCTCCTTTGAGGACCTTTTTTATTTTAACTTGGTTTGTTCCCCCTTTTGTTTATTGTACCTGTCTACATCTCTCTGTTACCAATAAAAGTACCTTGTTAAGATCTATACCAGTTGTGCAATATGTTTATGGCCCCCACTCCCCTAGACCAACAGGGGGTCGTAACAATCTGAATATTTTTTTTACCGGTAGTAGATTTTCTTTCTATAAATAATGCTCTGTGTCCACATCAAGATCTAGAGGACTCAGTATGGTTATGTCTGAAATTGTAATTTGTATTGTAATGTCAGTGTGGAGTAAAACTCACACACTGAAGGAGAGCGGAAATCCTCTTGTCCTTTACAGCACAGGAGATGATGTCTCCGGGATAAAACTGATCTTTATAAGAAGATGTCTCCACGCTTTCCATTTTCTGTCCGTTCTTGAACCAGACGTAGGAAGGACGATCAGGTAGACGACAGCTGCTGGACAAAGCAGCTCTGCCTCAGTATAATTCTTGTAGACTGTTGATCTGACACCTGAACCTGGAGATCTGTGAAGAAAAAACATGAAATGTTGTTTATGTGGAACTAAATCACACACAGACAGACACAGAGATATAAACAATAGAACATTATGACAATCATGATCAATAATCACATGTAAAATGATTTCCCATCAGGATCACTATTCAGCACATTCACTTGTCATCAGATAGTTTAAATGTGCTGTTACAGTTTGTGTTCATCAGTACCTGTGACAGTCAGAGTTGTACCAGGAAATACTCCTCCATTCAAAGCTCCATGTGTTGAATTTGAAGTGATACTCAGCTGAGTCGCTCTCTCTAGGTCAGTGATTCTCAGAGTGGAGCGTCCTCTCTCTGTTTCAAGGACCTGAACACGACCTGCATACTGGGAGTCTTCACTAAGGTCCTCAGGCTGTGAGGGATTCTGCCACTGAAGACTACGTTCAGGACTGAACCAGAATTTAGATCTGATATATGTGTCATAACTGTTGTAAGTACAAGAAATGTCCACTGATGAGCCTTTGAAGGCACAGATGCTTCTGTCAGTGTAAGTCACTCTGTTGCATGAATGACCATAGACACCTGAAAGAGAAAACATTTTTGGACCATTTTTAAACCAGAGCTGGTGAGGAGTCACAATGGGAGTCTCCTATTAAAAATATGTACTGTAGTTATACAGTTCCACCAGATGGTGTTGTGTGAGTGGAAGATTGTGCAGTAAACTCACACACTGAAGGAGAGGGGAAACCCTCCAGTCCTTTCACAGCACAGGAATAACTGTCTGGATAATAGAGTGCCTGAATAAGAAGAAGATGTTTCTCTCTGAATTTTCTGTCCATTCTTGTACCAGACGTAGGAAGGATGATCAGGTAGATGACAGCTGCTGTGACCATTAGGGTTGCCCAGTTAGAAACACTAGATCTTCTGACCTGCACCTGGAGACCTGGATTTGTGAGGGAGGAACAGGAATGTTAGTTTAGATTTTTCCTGTCAACATACACACAACACATTTATAGTTGTTTCCGGATGTTGAACATTTGAATTTTTTTAACATATGAATGAAAATGTTACCTCTGACAGACAAAGTGACTCCAGGTGAACCAGTAAATCTTCCATCTGGTTGGTTTGTTATGAACCTGAACTTGTACTCAGCTGAGTCGCTCTCTCTCAGGTCTGTGATTCTCAGAGTGCAGATTTTGTTAGAACAACTGTACTGCAAACGACCTGCGTATCTTGAGTCTGTTTCAGATCCACATGTACATCCATTCATCTGAGTAAACCAGAATGTTTCCTCAACTTAGTATCACGGCCATTTATCTGGATGGGTATGTGAGGGTGCAGCTTATTTCCACTGTGATCCTTTTAAGGCACAGATCTGAGTAGAGGTGTAAGTCACTCTCCAGCCATACTGACCCTGAATCACTGTAACACAGAGCACATCAGAAACTACAATCAGACTCAAACATCAGGAGACAGACTTCATTTGTTGTAGTGGTTTTTCAGTATGTAAAGCTACACTTCCTAAACTAATTTGGCTTCAGTGTCATCCTACCTAAAAGCAAGAGTGTGGAACTTACTAGTGAACGTCTTTTACATTTAAGTCCTTACCAAACGAGTTAGTTATGCTGATTAAGCTTATCACGCCAGCTACATCTCTGTGGGAGCAACTCTGGCAACAGCAGCAAGTCAGTATGGCATAGTGTTGTAGTCAAGACCGCCCAACGAAACCAAATCAAGACACAGACCAGAGTTTATCGAGACCGAGACAAGACCAAGATTTTAGGGGCTGAGACCAAGTCCAGACCAAGACCAGTTCCCACATTACATGACACACAATAAAATGTAGAACGAGATCACAGGTACTTCTAAAGTTGATCTGAAAGACCCACATTCCCTTTAAAACCCCCACATACAAACACTGAAGAGCTGAAATCAGCGTAAGCATCTTTATTCAATACTCCTTTTCCATGCTTACCCATCGCGGGGAGGTGTGACAGTTGCTAACAGGAACAACACAGTTTTGATTAGGGTGATTGGTTGCATTGAAGCAATACGTTTTGCATCCAATCAAAGTTAGGTTCTTAACAAATAAATCAGACATGCAAAAGCAATTTATTGATATTCCCAAAGTTATAGTCTTGACTGGTCTTGAAATAAAATCCTGAGTCCTCAATGTCTGAGACCGAGATAAGACCGAGTACAAATGCGGTCGAGTCCGAGATGAGACCAAGCATCAAAAAGTGGTCTCGCGTACTACAACACTAGTACTAGAGCGTAAATATATACTGTATGTCAGAAGTGTTAAAATTTCCACACTGCAAGAGGATGTCAGTTTGAACAAGACTGTACTTAGATATTATCCTAACTAGAACTGATTGTAAGATTTATTGAGTATCACACGTTTTCTTATGTTTAACTTATTTGTTGGGGAATGTTTGTTTTAAAAATGGGAAAATGGGAAAAAAAACTTTCAAATTACTTCTGGTTTATGCCAAAGTGAACAGAGCTATTGAGAAGTCTACAAATCATTCAGTTTTACATGAGAATATATAACGCAAAGTCAAAGATGTACATGTGACAGGCACATCATAAAGAGGGGGCAGTGGAGGAACAGCCGTGTATTTAAACTGTGTACTTACTGAACAGGATAAAAAAACATGAAATATTAGAGGGGTGTGATGCATTAAAATAGCGTCTGCTTTGCTCTGTTGCTTTCCTCCTCAGAGTGTAAATGGAAATCTAGAGAAATGCAGAACATTGAGGTGTGAGAAACTACTGCGATATGTAGATAACAAAAATATATATATATATTAGCCGGTTCAGGATATGACATATTAGGTACATTTTTAAGTCAACACAAACACAAGATCAATCTGTGTGAACTTCATTCATTTGAATTTTATCTTCTCAAACCAAGAAATCTGAATTTGCAGCGTCTGGCAGTGAATCTGACATATTCAGTAATATCTGGAATATGATTTATTTAACGCTCCCTTCATTTTACTGTTGTTTTATTGTTGTAGTGTTTGCAGGTGGATAAGTAGCAGGGACATATCCTTTGCAGCTGGAGGCTTCATTAGTCACAGCTAGTCAGTAAATGTGAATGACAGTTAGAGCTGGCAGGTAGTGTACAGTGGGTTTTTAGAGACTTTTACTGAAATCAGCTGTCTGCTGCTGCTGGAAACAAGGCTGACAAGACTGTTCTGTGGAGCTGAGGGGAACTGCAGATTCAGGTGATAATTATTCTAAGTATCTTTTACATTATACAGTAATTGACCCATATATTAGTGCAACTTTAAGTTTTGTTATCCGCCTTTCTTGTGACATGAAAGACGATACTGACTCATGTTATTTTCATGTTATTTCCTGTATTAATTATGCTATTACAGAGAACAGCTTCTAAATTTACTCTTATGCATAAAACGCTGGCTAAAGTGAGTCGGAGGACAGCAGAACAATGTAGGAAGTTCCACAGAGCAATTTTTTATAACAAATTATTTATAGGACTTGTAAAGTTATTACTTCTATCCACACAAATATATTTACTGTTTTTAATGGTGAACAATATAATTTATAAAGTTACATTGTCATGGTAAGATAAACAGAGATGCTGCTGGTGTACAGAAAAAACAGCTCCGTTGGTCATCTTGTAAAGACTTTTATTTAAAGAAAGAGAATTAAAAGTCTGGTGTTTCAGGGATCGCATCAGATCTTTTTATTTACTAAATACCTGCTTTCCTCTGATTTTGTGTGCTAACAGCCTCACTTATAATGGAGATGTACAGTACCTTGTACAGAGAGAAGAAGGACAACAAATCCTGCTGGTAAACTCATAGCTGCTCCTCACGTCTGTTAAATCACATCAGCAGATAAATCAGGTACAAGAGAAATCCTGTATGTCAGTTAGTCACAATAAACATTTCAAAAAGGGAGGGTGCTGTCTTTGAAGACAGTTTGTCTCTACAGTTGTAATAAACAGACACTGAAGTATAAAAATTGCCCTGACTTCCTCCTCTTTACATCATAATATGCAGGGACAGACAAAAGCCTGTAAATCCCCAAGAGAAATGAAGAAATGATTCTTATATAGTTGTGATGCATGAACTTCTTAAAATATAGTTTATTGAAATGATTGTGGTCATTTTGGGGTCTGGTATTGCCTCTAGAGGGGTGGAAAATCAACATGTTTTAATCACTCTTTTTTAGCTTTATACTTCACCCAGGTCCAATTTATTTACAGCCCCTGTCGATACATATAATGAAGAGTCTATTGCGTAAATGAGAAACTAAAAGTGAAAGTGGGTTGGGGGTTAACCTTGTTATTTGTGTGACCCTTTTTGTTATAGTGTTAAGAGAGGCAAGCTGGCTCAGTCTCTTACTTGCATCCACGGGTTCTTCTCATTGCTCTATTTGGTGCCTCCTCGCTCTCTCTCGGGTGTAAGGGACTAATACGCGCCGAGAGGTGTAGAGAAGGAGGTACAAACTGAGAAATTATGAATTAAGATTAAGAATAAAGATATCAACATCCCCCCGAAATGAAGTCTCATCGTAGTTTGAAATCCGGCTGATGATAGGTAACATTTCATACTATATAATAACATAGGGCAAAAAATGACAACAAATAAATACAGAAAATGTTTTATATTATAAAAATTATACAAATGGTAGTGTGTATGTGGAATGTTGATAATGTATTGAATATATTGATACAGATGCAATTGGTTGTTATGATCGGTAATCAGGCAAATAACAAAAACAAAAAAACAATGGAATCAAGATTGTATGAAATGAATGAAAGATGAACAGGCAGAGTATTAATCTGTTGTGATGTTTCCACAGAGATGTAATCTACAAGTAAGTTTTCAGTGACTTCCAGATTATAAGGATGGTTTCTAAGCGATAGTTATTATGTATGAATATAGTTTTGTCTGATTGTGACATTATTTTATAATTTTGGAGACAAGTTTTTGAGGAAGGAATGTTAATTAACTCTAAAGCTGAAGAAAGAAGATCCAAGTTAGTGACTATAATGCTTATAAAACTTATATAATAATATAAGTTTTGTCGGATTGACGATTTCAGCTGCAAATATTCCAAAAATAGTTTGCTTCCGGTGTCTTACTACTAATTCTTCTGTAGTAGCCTTTTCGGCGTTGCACATTTTAGATGGTCCCTGCATCTCACAGCCAGCTGCTCATAGAGACCAATGTATTTGTGCAGCTTGGAGGAAGACTTATTTGGTGAAAAGTAGCTTGTTGTTCCTATAGTACGATAGGAAAGAAGCTT